CGGAAGGGCTTGCTAGTTCGAACTATCTAGCCCGTGCCGCGTGTAGCCGCGCGGCACGGGGTTCGAACAAGCCGGCATTTAAAAATGGCGCCGGCCGGCTTATGCAAATGAAGCCCGGGAAATTCAAATCCCGGGCTTCATTTGCACGTTCGGTATGCATACATTACCCCGCTAGTTCGAACTAGCGGGGTAGTGTAGACATACCCATATACTGTGAAAAAATGTGCCTTGTGATTTGAATGTGTCTGGCTTCTAATCGCTGGTTCTTTTCTGCCTTTCTCTGCTCAATTAAAGAGCAGGTTAGTAGTCAGTGCTTCATGATCGAGTCACTTGTCCATTTTATTTGTATAAGCTAAACTGAGCAAACTTATTTAAGTCTCTCACTCTCAGGCATTTTTCCAACCCTCAAATCCTTTCTGTAGCTCTTCTCTGCCCCCTCTCTAGTCTTTCAACATCCCTATTATCTTGTATGACGCAGGCCACAGAATCTCACTAATTCTAATTCTTTGTTTGTGGGACTCACCACTGAGGCACCTCCTGATGGAAGCTCTGGGGAATTAATCCTTTCATCAGTAGGGTGCCTCCTTCAGACTGGTGTCTCCCCCGTCCGTGCTCCATGCTCCTAATCTGGACACACATTGCTCCCAGGCCACAATGTCCTGTTCAGGACACTGCCCTCCGGCAGTGCCCACTCCAGTGGTCTCTCGCCCACTTCTAGGGCTTTATGAGCAGTCCTGAGTCTCTATTGCCACCGTGGCCTACTGTGGCCTGCAAACCTAGCCCCTCTGTTTTAGGGGCTAGCCACAGTCTGTATGGGCCATACCCTCCTTCCAGGAGGGTATCAGCAGTTCTGTTTCACCCGCCACTGTGGCCACCTGTGGCCCCAAAGTATAGCTCATTACCTCAGGGGCGAGCCACAGTCTGTATTGGCCATGCCTTGGTGGCTAGGTGTGGTCCAATGGGGAAGGAGGGAACTCAGGCCCAGGGGCCTTCTGGCAGCAGCCTTGTTCTGCCCTCCTCTACCCTTCTTTACTGCCTCTAGTTCCCTGGACCACTTCCTCTGTGATCCTTTTCATCTTCCTGGCCCTTGTAGCAAGCTAGTGGCCTGGCAGGTATCAGGCAGGAGTCTCCCTCTCTAGCCCCCCTGAGCCTGTCCAGAAATGCTCTCCCAAAGGTACTTCTCTGGGAACCAAGTCCTACACTTTCCCTTGTCAGGGCTTAACTGTCTCACTTTACTAGGCAGCTTCTTATATACAGGGCTGCCTCAGCAAGCTACAATCTGATTGGCAACTTAAAAGCCACTTCCTAACTGGCCAGGGTTCTGCACAGGCTCCCTCCAGCCTGCATTAACCCCTTCCAGCCAGGGTTAATGTAGGCTGGAGGGAGCCTGTGCAGAGCCTATACACTCTTTTAAACAGGGACCTTAATACAGCTCATTTTAAAACAATAGTAATTCTAGTCACTGATTTCTATTTAGCAAATCCCAACCTTCGCTGGCTAGAGTCCCCACTAAGACTTGTGTTGCTGTCATTTAGCATGATCTTTATGCAAAGGAAACCTTACTGTAGTTCATTGGGTGGTGTTTTGAAGGAGGTCTGATTGGATGGTCATAGTGGTCCCATCTGGCCTTATAATGTATGTCTCGCTCCCCTTTCTTAATGAGGAAACTGAAGCATGGAGAGATTAATGTGATTTGCCTCATGTTCCAACACAATGTTTGTGGCACAGTAAGGCAGCAAATGAAGGAAAGATCAGTAGCAGAAGCTTCCTGCATGACTCTGTGGCAGAAAGAGCTTATTTCAATCTTGTCTATATAAACAGGAATCTCACATAGCAGTAGGGAGGTTTTATTCCCTCTGTATGTAGCACTGGTGCGACTGCCGCTGGAATTGTGTGTCCAGTTCTGGGGTTCACAAACCAAAAAGAATGTTGATAAATTGGAGAGGGTCAGAAAAGAGCCATGAGAATGATTCAAGGATTGGAAAACTGGCCTTTCAGTGAGAGACACCAGGAACTCAGTCTATTTAGCTTAACAAAGACAAGTAAAGGTAAGTAAGATCTAATGGCTGGAAGCTAAAGCTAAACAAATTCAGATGGCACATAAGGTGCAGTTTTGTTAGTAGTAATTAACGTTTGGAACATTGGTATAATGAAACATCTACTTGCATTTGACACTTGAACCATGTATGATGGTTCAACTTATAGTAAGTTTGCCATGTGGCATTAAAAGGTGTGCTTTGTGAGTGAGTTATTGTTTTTGTCTTCTAGGACTATTCAACATGGCCGTTAAGCCCAAAGAGCAGAAGCAGTCCCATGATGGAAGTGAGACTATGGTAAGTCAGACAGAAGATGGGGAAAATGGTTTAAAAGAAAAGGGTTTGTAGTCTTGACTCTTCATTGATTCTGTCTCTCCCCCCTCACCCATCATAACAAAAATATAGTAAAGTGCTTCCACTTAAAACCATGCCCACAAAGATTATTGGTTAGCCAGTAGGGGATGCTCAATTTGTTGAGTTTATCCATGAGTTTAAGAGAAGATCTCCAAGGGCTAGCCATTGATGAGTCTTTAAAGTTAAAGAATCTTCAAAAGATCCCTAAAACAAGATTAGATTTCTACCTAAAAGTAATCCAGGTTCAAGTTTACTTGCTCTGTGTGACTTTGCATAAATCATGTAGGCCTTGTCTATATGAACAAATAGTTTGCAGCAAGTGGTGGAGTGAATTTATACACACTAGTCTGACATGAGCTAACTGTCCATGTGGACTGTGTTAATAAAAATTCATGAAAGTGCTTTGATTGAATCAGTGAGGACTATATTGGGCCACATCAATAAACTATATAATTCATTCATTAGCATTTTGCTAATTCGAACTAGCATGTCCACATTAAGTGGACCCTGAACCGGGCTTAAGGATGGCCGGAAGCAGTGCTGGCAGGGCATCAGAGGAGAAATTAGAGTGTGGAGATGCTTTCTCAGGCTAGCCGAAGGCTATGCTTAAAGGGTCCCGACCCCCACCCCGGACAGACAGTTCTCAGGAGTGCCCCGCTTGCAGAGCAGTCCTGGCTTGGATTGCCTGGACTATCCACACTGGGCACATCACAGCTCTTGGCCATCAGACCGGCTGCACTTGCCGCAGGCTGCCATCTGGGGAGAGGGGGAAATTGGGGGGCTGCAGGAGAGCTTCCACCCCCAGAAGCCCGCAGAGCCAGCCCAGTCCTCCCCATTGGGGGCTCGTGCCCCATTCCTCCCTCACCTCCTTCCACTTACCCCTCCCTAGCCCCTCTTCTTGATGTACAAAATAAAGGACACGTGTCTTCCAAAATGGAATCTGTCTTTATTGAACAAAACTGGGGGAGACCAGGAAAAGGAGGTGGGAGAGGGGAAGAGAGAGGGTGGGAGAGGGGAGGGCAACTACAATGATGAGGGGTTTGGAACAGGTCCCATATGAAGAGAGGCTAAAGAGACTGGGACTTTTCAGCTTAGAAAAGAGGAGATGGAGGGGGGATATGATAGAGGTCTATAAAAGCACGAGTGGGGTGGAGAGGGTGCATACAGAAAAGTTCTCCATTAGTTCCCATAATAGAAGGACTAGAGGACACCAAAGGAAAGGAATGGGTAGCAGGCTTCAAACTAGTAAAAGAAAGTTGTTCTTCACAAAGCAAAGAGTCAACCTGTGGAACTCCTTGCTGCAGGAGGCTGTGAAGGCTACAACTAGAACAGAGTTTAAAGGGAAGTGAGATCAAGTCATGGAGGTTGGGTCCATGGAGTCCTATTAGCCAGAGGGTAGGAGTGGTGTCCCTGCCCAAAGTTTGTGGAAGACTGGAGAGGGATGGCACGAGACAAATGGCTTGGTCACTGTCTTCGGTCCATCCCCTTCAGGGTCCCTAGGGTTGGCCGCTGTTGGCAGACA